TGGGGGCTCGAGCCAGTTTTGCATTGTGTTATTGAAACGGAACCCCTAGATACTGAACCCGGCCCTTGTTGCTGCCAACTCAGACAGGCAGAAGGGTTACACAGACATGTATTCTGTGCCCCACCCTTTGTCCCCTCTGCATCAGAATCTGTACTTCTGACATTCAGTGTGAAGGAACTGAGGGGTTTCGGGTGGTGCACCCTTATACAGCCAGGGAGGGACTATGGCTGCAGGATGTGAGTGCCGCCCCATGGGTACTGCTAGGTAAAGTTCTCTGGCTCTGGTGCACAGGGCATGCACACATCCACATGAAATACATGTCTACATCACATCTCGAAGAACACTGACAGGTAGGTAACTGTTTTTTCTCTGGTTCCATCCACCAGAATAAACCAGAAATAGACACCTCGGTAGCAAAGATCTACCCATCAATCCGAGAATTTATTTTCTTTATCCAGAGCTGCAGGAGATCTACCATAGCATTATGCTTCCAACTGCTAGGACTCCTGGTCTCAAGCACAGCGATCACTCCACAGGTACAATCACACATCAGAAGTCTTCAATCCTTCATACTAACGGTGTGGGACAACTCCCTGGAACACATGAAAGATCAAGTACAGGTTCCAACACAGGTGTTCAACTCCTTACAATGGTGGTCCGCCCACAACGATGTCCACCAAGGCACGTCCCATCTGGCTTCCAGATCCTTTAATCCTCACAACCGACGCCAGCCTGGAGGGCAGGGAGCTCATTTGGAGACTCAAACAGCCCAGGACCCTGGAGCCAGGAGGAAAACGCTCACAGCGTAAACCTCCTAAAGCTGCCAAGCTAGCTCTGTGAAGGTTCCAGCCCACTCTAAGGAGGAACCATGTCCTGCTTCAATCAGACAATAGGACTGTGGTCACGTATTTAAACAACCAAGGGAAAACGAGTCCAGCACTACACACAGACGTAACAGAAATAATGAGGAGGGTGGAATGGTTCCTCATTTTCCTCAGAGAGCCACATCAAAGGGGACTTGAACCAAAATCCAAACTGGCTCAGCAGGCACAGGATCAATAATGCTGAATGGTGCCTGAAATCAGGAGGTTTTCAATCTCAGCATTCAGCCTCCCTTTAACCAACCTGTGAATGATAAGAATGCAAAAAGGCCAGAACAGTTCACAAAGGAGGCAGGCCACAGATCCATGCGGACATATGTCTTATTGCATAGTTGACCACAGGGCCTACTTTACACAATTCCACCCTTTCCACTACTGGGGAAAGTGGTCCAGAAACTAAAACAAGAATAGGCAATGGTAACACTGATAACTCCTCATTGGCAGAGGAGACCTTGGCTCTTAGCTGTGACAGCTGAAACTGGAGCCCTCACTCCAGCTTCCATGGAAACTGGGCATCCTCTCAACAAGGTCCTCTGCTTCATCCGGACCTGAAACAGCTTCAGCTAACTGCCTGTTTTTGAGAGGGAAGCTCTAGAAGGTCTCAGTCTGTCCTCCAGAATCATTAAGATACTGTTTTTGTCTACGAGAATATCAATACTAAAAGCATACTCCTCTATCTGGTCCAGATTCAACAACTGGTGTCAAGAGTACAATGCAAATCCCAGAAGTCCAGAAATTCCAATCATTCTGAACTTTCTCGAAGGCGGCATAGAGAGAGGCTTGCAGCCCAGGACCATTGCATGTCAGGTGTCTGCTATTAATAGCATGGTATTTGCAGGATCCTTGGGCTCCCTGGCAGACAATCCACAGGTAGCCAGAGTCCTTCTAGCAGTCCAATTAGCCACAGTAGTAGTCAGGCCACTTTTCCTAAAACGGGACCTTTGACATGACAAATCGTCCCTCTGAGCCTCTGACTTCCGTATTGGCCTTTTATTTATCCATAGACTCGTTTCTTAGTAGCTGTCACATCCGCCAGGTGAGTGTCGGAGCTGGCAGCCTTACCCATTCAGGAGCTGTACTGCATGTTCTATGAAGACAGGGTGGTGCTCAGGACAGCAAAATCCCTTCTTCCTAAGGTAAATTCCACACTTCCCAAGAGGTTGTGCTGCCTTTGTTCTGTCCAAAACCACAACATCCAACTGAAAAGGAGTGGCACGGATTAGATGTCAGAAAAAGCATTGAAAATCTCTTGAGTGTACAGAATCCATGAAAAGATCAGGTTCCCTATTTGTGTTCTTCCACCAAAATGCCAGGGACTCAGAGCTTCCAAGTCCTCCATCACTAGGTGGATTAGACTACATATTGTGGAAGCCTACAAATCATCAGAGGCTCCTGTCCCAGAAAGGATCAAGACAGGGTGCTGGAACAATCTGTATAGCGGGGGTGCTGAGAGCCATTGAACCAAACTGTAAACCTTGTATGTGATGGAAACTACTTCAAGCCAGGGGGTGCGGCAGCACCCCCAGCACCAGCACCTATGGATCAAAGCACACTCCACAAGATCCTTAGCAACCTCACGGGTGGAACGAGCAAGTGCGCCCACTTCGGAAATTTGCAAAGCAGCCACTTGGTCTATGCCAGCAGTTCTCAACCAGAGGTCCAAGGCCCCCTGGGGGTCCACAAGCAGGTTTCAGGGGGTCCACTAAACAGAGCTGGCATTAGACGCATTGGGTCCCAGGGCAGAAAGCCCACGCTGCCCTGACCGCCGCACCCAGGTCTGAAGCCAAAGCCTGAGCAGCTTAGATTCGTAGGGACCCATGCAATTGTCCTGCTTGCTTCCCCCTAATGCCACCCTGGCTTTTATATGCAGAAAAACAGTTGTTGTGGCACAGGTGGGCTGTGGAGTTTTTATAGCATGTTGGAGGAGCCTCAGAAAGAAAAAGGTGAGACACCCTGGTCTACACCTAACAGCTTCATTGGGCACTATAAGGTGGATCTTCTATCTTCTGCAGAGACATCCTTTGGCAGGACAGTGCTGCCGGTGGTGGCCCAGAAATAATACAGACTTTTCAGCAAGCTAACAGAAAGAGGGTTACTTCTTTCCTGCTGAACTTTTGTTTCATAACCCTCCTTGTTCAACTGATCGCTACTGCACAGGCATCTAGAATTGTGGGTGAGCAGGGCCATGACAGTGGCGCTGCAGAGGGCTCCCTGTCCTGCCTTCTAAATTATCCCAACTCCCAATTATGTGGATAAAATCCGTGTGTCCCCCATGCTATTCAGATAATCAGGAGTATACTGTATTGTTATATTTCCAAGCATCCTAGCTATAACGTGCGCGTAGCTATATCTTAATGTTCAGAAAAGATGCAAACAAGTTTGTAAGGACTAATGAAAAAAGTCATAATAATTTTATTATCAATATCGAGGTCTCTCCCCTACAGGGCACTTGATCTACAGTGAGCTAGCCATTCACGCAGTGCTGGTTCTGCCTCCTCATTTCTAGCTATAATGTATTTTTAGCTTCTTTCAATTCAGTGTAAGTACTTTCCCATATCAGTTTTCCATGTAAACAATTGCTGTAGTTGCTACAGGGATGTAATGTGATTGCAAAACAAGAGGAAGCATCAATCCAAGTGGTACAAAAACGGTTAGAGAATCCTGCCGTAGAGTAGCCCTAAATTCTATTCTGCGGCAGCCTACTGGCAGCTTATGGGATCACTGCTAAGGTCCCAGAGGTTGTGCTGCAGAACACAACAGTAATTAGTTATTAATTATGTGTATTATCGTAGCACTCAGGAGCCCAAGTCAAGTACCAGGATCCCATTGTGCTAAGAACTGTACAAACACAGAACAGATACCCAGTCCCTGCCCTAAAGAGCTTATAATAAGACAAGGGACAAGAGACCGATACAGACAGAGGAGTACAAGGAACCAATGAGACAATATTGGTCAACATGACAGGCTGTGGTCTCAGCACATCAGTGGCCTAATCGTTGTCAACATTTTTGTAGGCATCATGACAAAGGAGGGTTTTGGAGAACGTAGCTTTGCAGATGTTTACAGGGAACTTCTCCTAAGTGTGAGGAGCACCATGAGGAAAGCACGAAGGTGATTATTTGAAAATTCAGCAAGTGGGAATCGAAGTTCTCCCATGGGCCAATCAGAGGTGGGAGCTGATATCTCAATAGTAAATGAGAGGTGACAGGCAATGTGGGGACAGACTGTGAAGGGCCTTGGAAGTGAATGCAAGCAGATTATGTTTGATGCAATAGAGAAGCAGGGGAAAGCAAAGAGGAGTGACGTGATCACAGCGATGTGCTAGGAAATTACCTTTGAAGCAGCATTTTGAATGGATCTGAGCAGGGCAAGATTGCACTTGTCAAGGCCAGAGAGAAGGATGTTGCTTTAATTGAGACAAGATGATGAGAACCTTGATGAGAGTTTTAGCTGGATGGATGGATAGGAAAGGCTGTATCTTAGGCTATACCTAGAGTACATGCTGGGAGTGCGATTCCCATGCTTGCATACACATATTTGCACTAGCTTGGATGAGAACTAGTGCAAGTGCAAATAGTAAAGTAGCTGCAGTAGTGGGGGCAGCAGCAGTGGAAACACAGTTTAGCTGTGCTGAATAGAAGCCCTCCTGAACCCCCTGGGTACATACCTGGCGTGGCTAAGCCTTGCTGCCACTGCCCATGCTCTGTGGCCACCCACACTACTATTTATGCTTGCACTAACTCTCCTCAAGCTAGTGTGAATATGTGTATGCAAGCAGGGGAATCACACCTCCCACTCATAGTGTAGAGGTAGCCTTAGAAAGATTATGCAGGTTTAAGGAATGAGCTGCTGATGTGCTCTGAAGGGAAAGCTGTTCATTTCTTCTTGGCTGGAAGTTGGTTTCCAGAGTGCAAGGTGTTGTGGGAACTGAGTTGGCTCAAAGGCGGCAATTAGTCATGGTCCCAAAGAAGGTAAGAATTGTTTAATGCTCTTTTTCTGGAAAAACCATAATCGTCTGGAGTTTTTAAAATCAATTTAGTAGCATGAATCATTTTTAAAAAATCCTATTTCTTAGAGATGCAACATATTGTAGTAAACGCTAGCGTTATTAACTCCTACCTTGAGGCCCATTGGAAATAAGAGAGGCTGCTGTTGATTCAAATTTCACTGCGCGAGTCCTCAGAAATACGAGTTGAGTAATACTTGTGTCTACAGCTTGGGAAGGAAAAAGAAGAACAAGATTGATTTGTTCATTCTAAGCCTGCTTAAATCTTGAACACAACTTAATTGTTCTCTAGTGAAGGATAAAACCAAAATGTTAAAATAGAATTATATTGTAGCAGCAGGTTTTCCAGAGATCAGGGTATTATTTTCCACCATATTTAGATTATAACAATTAAATTCCTACTGCTCTCTAAGTAGGCATAATGCACAACTCATTATTTATCATCTATACTTGCTTTTAAGATATACTAAACCTCTCTATGTGTTGATGACAAATACACCTCTACTCCGATATACCGCGACCCGATATAACACGAATTCGGCTATAACGCGGTAAAGCAGTGCTCTGGGGGGGCGGAGCTGCACACTCCGGTGGATCAAAGCAAGTTCAATATAATGCGGTTTCACTTAGTGGTAAGATTTTTTGGCTCCCAAGGACAATGTTATATCGAGGTAGAGGTGTATTCCAGCACTGATGATTTTTACTAAAACCTCAACAGAACAGTTTTCCTTGGGAAAAACACAGTTCAGTTTAAATAAAAATGCTTTGCAAAATCATGTTGTTTTTCATGAAATTTCAGAGAAAGGGGGGAAATAGTTCAAAAAAGACATTTCAGCTTTTTCTGAACAAAACATTTTGATCTTTCCTTTTAAAATGACTTTCCATTTTGAATTTTTAAAAATTCTGTATTATATATTATAAAATATAATATAATAAAGTCAAAAGTCAACACTGAAATAAAACGTTTTGATTTTGTTGAAACAAAATATTTGGATAAATTTGAAAAGAATTTTTTATGGAAATTTTCTTTCCTGGAGCATTTAATTTTCAGGTTTTGTTCCAATTCAGAATGAACACAAAATTTAGAAATCTCAAAATCCTCCATGAACTGGAATTTCTGTTCTCTACCCAGCTCTAGTTTTTACCATGTGCAATGACAGCCACTGTTTGTCGTCAGAGAGTGTGGGCATTCTGAGTGAAATTTACGTAGACTGTAAACTCTTTGGTTCAAGCAGGGAGCATCTTTTTGTTCTGTGTTTGTACAATGCCTAGCACAATGAATTCCTGGTCCGTGACGAGGGCTCATATGTACTACCACAGTACAAATAAATAAAAGGATAATAAATATTTTATTAATAATAAAATATGTTGTGCAATTTTTAATTATGATAAATTAAAGCAATTGTTACATAGATTTCTTTTAACACCTAAAAAGTTCCACCCCTCCTTGTGTTAGTAGTTTTTCAGTTAACGCAACCTTAGATCAACAAAATATCTGGATGCTAGTGATGAGAAGGTGAAAGGAAGAAAGTACAAATTATGTTTTTGGCAAGAATGCCTTTTTTCTTCGACAGTAATTCCTTTATAATTACTATGAAAATTTTTCAAAATATTTTCTACTTCTAGGAATGCTCAGAATTTTAGTACACAATAAGAAAACGTCTGTAGATGTATAGCAGCACACTTGCATTTCTTCAGAGTGAAGGCATTTGGAAATGTGCCTCATCACTGCTGTATTAATATATGTGTACCTTAGGAAGATAATGTATAGTATTGCAGAGCATGTAACATGCTAAGGCAGGACACCAGTGGTGTGTATGGTACAAGAACCTAGTTAAAGAGCCATGACAAAAAATGGTTCTGTACCATTCTTATGTACACAGGACTGAACCTGATGGGGAAGTTGGGTCATTTCCACAGGCCAGGCCAACCACTGGAATATCAATTTGGGGCCAAATTCTGACCCTGTTACCATGGGACTAAAGGATACATGTGCCCCGAACTCCAGCATAGGGGAGCTCAGTGTCAGCCTGACCGATCCCAAGGACAATCAAGATGGGGCAGAAAGTGATGTGGAGCTGCTTCTCAGCACCAGTTCCATAGTCAGGTCCCACGGAACTGCTGAAAGGACGTCTGACTCTTACCGGTAATAGCCTGCTAGGGGCCAACGGGCCGTTGAAGACCATTGGAATGAAAGGAATGGTAATCATGCCCCCCCCCGATACCTCCCAATGCACCTCTTATACTGAGGAAGACCAAGTTATGCCAGCAGTTCTCAAACTGTGAGTCGGGACCCCAAAGTGGGTTGCAACCCTGTTTTAATGGGGTCTCTAGGGCTGGCTTAGACTTGCTGGGGTTCGGGGCTAAAGTCAAAGCCCAAGCCCCACCGCTCGGGGCCGAAGCCAAAGCCTAAGGGCTTCAGCCCTGGGCGCCAAGGCTCAAGTTACAGGCCCCCTGCCTAGGGCTGAAATCCTTGGGTTTCGGCCCCAAGCAGTGGAGCGGTGGGGCTCGGGCTTTGGCTTTACCCACCCCCCACCGGGAGCAGCGGGGCTCGGGTGGGCTCAGGCTTTGGTCCCCACTCCTGGGGTCATATAATAACTTTGGTTGTCAGAAGGGGGTCACAGTGAAGTGAAGTTTGTGAACTACTGAATTACGCCAATCAGGAATTCCACCATGCCCAGGCAATCTCCAGATGCCCTATTAGGGCAGCTTTCCATCCCCTTTGCTGCTCTGCAGAGCTAAGGAGACAGAGCATGGTCTGAGGACCTGGACCAACATTTCCAGAAGAAGGAACTTGTAAATACTATTATACTCTTAAGCATGTAACCAAAGGACAATTGTTCATTCAGTTGTAATGCTTAAAGAAAGAGATGGCCTTGCAGCTAAGGTACTAGATGGACTCTGAAGGTCTGGGTTCAATTCTCTGCTCTGCTACAAACTCCCTGCCTTACCTTGGGCAAGTCATTTAGTCACTCTGTGCCTCAGTTTCCCCAGCTATAAAATGAGCATAATAAACCTTTCTTTGGGTTGTCTATTTAGAATATAAGCTGGTCAAGGCAGGGACTGTTTCTCACTCTGTGTGTGTGTGTGTGTGTGTGTGTGTACACAGCACACATAGCACAATGTCTCATTTGGAGCCTTTAGGCAGGCACTACTGTAATACAAATAATTATTCATGTATATATGTGTATATATACCCCCCAAACACACCAAGAAAACAAATATAATCAACTTCATCCTTTGTCCTTGATATTTACTACAAACTATTTGATTTGCTCATTACATTAGAGATAACAGCTTTAACTAAACCAATGGTATGGCACTGCTCCCGTGCCCTATATTGCAATAATTTTATATGATGTACAGTTACCATGCTGTCTCCCTGTTCTACTGAATTTAATAAGTATCCTCCTAATAGTATAGTTTGCTGTAACATGCAAGGTCCACATCTCTCCAAAAAAGATTTTGAATGAAGGGTTAAGCTGGAAACTGTTTAGGAATTGTTTTCCCTGTAGTTTCCCTAGTCAGTACTTACCTTCTGTGCCAGCACAGTGAGTGGGAAAAGATGTGTGAAGTTTGCGGTATATGTGTCCTGAGATCATATTCCAAACGATAATTTCACCATCATAACTGGAGGTGGCAAGAAGAGTAGGTGGACACTGAGCAATACACAGAATATCCTCCTTGTGGCCACTGCTCTAAATGAAAAAAAGATGACATAAAAGAAACACTGCTGCTCCTTTCCCTTTGTTCAGCAAGAGAAAGGGACCTAGGCACAGACTTTCCCTGGCTCTTGCAGCTCACACACAAGAACCTATGTCATCTCTCCAGCCTAATCTCCTACATAGTATCAGGTGAGAAATTTAAAACAACTGAGATTAGTGTCTTTTGGACCATACATCTCATTTGCCAATGCTTTTCCTCATCCCAACCCATCAGGGTCTACAACTCACACAGCTTTAATTATTACCACCTTCTCTCTCTCTGCTGGTGACTCACAGATCTCCCCCCATCCTCAGTTCAGACTGTGTCCGTCTCTCTGACATCTTCTGCTGAATGTCTCACTGAAGCCTCAAGATACTCAACCAGTCAAAAAATGAACTTGTTGTCTTTATTATAATAATATATGGAGATATACCTATCTCACAGAACTGGAAGGGACCTTGAAAGGTCATATGAGTTCAGCCCCCTGCCTTTACTAGCAGGACCAAGTACTGATTTTTGCTCTAAATCCCTAAGTGGCCCCTTCAAGGATTGAACTCACAACCCTAGGTGTAGCAGGCCAATGCTCAAACCACTGAGCTATCCCTCCCCCCTTTCCTCCAGCATCACCTTCTTCTCTCTCTCTCTCCCTCTCCTTTACATCCACAGCCCCACCATCCTACTAGCCTCACAGCTGTAATGTCAGTTTTTGACTCCTCTCTCCTCTTCACACTGAAGTGGCCATCTAATTTTGCTGGTTTTCATTCCAAAACTTCTGCAAAATCAGCTATTCTTCTCCATTCACAACATAAAAAGCTCCTGTTCAGACCTCGAACATTTCATGCTTCAACTTTCATGCAAGGGAGGTCTAGGTTGGACATTAGGAAAAAGTTCCTAACTGTCAGGGTGGTTAAACACTGGAATAAATTGCCTAGGTAGGTTGTGGAATCTCCATCTCTGGAGATATTTAAGAGTAGGTTAGATAAATGTCTATCAGGGATGGTCTAGACAGTATTTGGTCCTGCCATGCGGGCAGGGGACTGGACTCGATGACCTCTCGAGGTCCCTTCCAGTCCTAGAATCTATGAATCTCCTTTTCCTCCTCCTTTCCAACCTGCATGACACTTACCTTGTTCCTCTCTAATCTGCTCAAAACTCAGGTGTGAAAGTTATCTATCTAGAATTATATGTTGGTAAGAATTCAAATAACTGCTCATTACTAAAGTCTAATTGTTTGTGTTCAATTATTTATCCAGCTTTGTGTTAAATAACATCTGACTTATTTTTTTAAAAGAACTCTATTTGTAATACAGAATCAAGATGGATTCTTACTATATCATCCTGCCAATAGGGCTGAGGTTTCTGAAAGTGATGAAGGTCATCTGCAGAGTCCTGTTCCAAACAACATAGATAAAAGAGAAGTTGGTGTATTTTCAGCATTTTCTCAGCCAACAGGGTTATGTTCTTCACTAGGTATGTACGTACAGCTCAAAAGAAGTTGAACTCCCATGTGCAAAAGGCAAATGGCTTTGAAACGCAAGTAATTCCCACTGACACAAAAGTGAACAGACAAGGCCCTTCATATTGCTAGAAACAATAGGTAACAAACCAAAAGGCTTGAGAACAGCATGTTTCCAATGTCTATTTAAGTTAATTTTTTAATTAAAATCTGGCTAAATATTATAATAAACATGCATTGCATATTAATAGCAGTATATGTAACAGCACTGCTTGCTAAAGGCTCTTTGATTTGGCCATGTGTTTGATGATGGGCAACTGGATGGCTCACTGATGACTGTCAAATGTAATTTTGCATTTACTTGCTCCTGCAGGTTGCCTAAGGTACTGAATTCAGAAAATAGACAAAATGTCCAGGCCATGATCCTGCAAAGATTTACATGTGAGCCCAATTTTATGTGCTGAGTGGCCACGTGGAATTCAATGGAACTACTCTCAGGGTGAAATCCTGACCCCAGTGAAGTCAGGCAGTGTTTTGCCATTGAAGTCAATGGGACTAGGACTTCACCCTCAGTGCAATAAGTTACCCATGTTATTATGTCTCTGCAGGATCATGTCCTTGAAATTTTGTTTGTTTACTGGGCACAGAACCTTAGGCAACCTACAGAGAGTGAGATCAAGTTTTACATGTCCCACCTTTAAGTGGAGGAGGTTGAGTGTTGGACAACATTTTTAGTCTTAGCCCAAAACAGAAATGGTTGATACATCAGTGACTGTAAACAGTCTTTTTTCCCCCCTTTTCACTTCGAATGAGAAGCAATAAATACAAAATTTAAGAGTTCATTTTAAAATAATAATAATTTTGTATTAATACCAAGTCATTTTAGATATATATTTTTCACTTACAAAATACATGCTTATTCTTCTATCCCATCCAACAGCTATGATATACCTACAAGAAGATTTAATAAAGTGTTCAGTGTTCTGTTTGATTTTATATACTAGTAATTTTTTTTTAAAGAGAGATGGTTTTTAAATATTACTGTTTTAAACATCAAGGAAATGGGAAAGTTACACGCAGCTTGCCAAAATTAATGAAATAATCCACTGAGAACTGCCTTCATGGAATGATAGCACCTATTAAGCCAATATTGTGTTTTTCATTATGTTTCTACAGTGGCTAACACAACTGGGGTCCTGGCTTCCACATGCTATTGTAACACAAATGATAACAACATGGGAGCACTGTGTACTGAGTAGCAGAGCAACAGCATCTGTCTCAGAGAACTAGGGATCTGTAAGCCAGCAAGCAGCTTCACTAGCCAGGGGAGGTAAAATAAAGCCAAAACTTCAGTTTGGGTCATACCCTTTTCTTCTGGGCTGGCTTTATCATTACTGGAGGATTCAAAACAAGAGAAAAGTATCTCAAAATACTTGGTCCCAACCACCAGAGGCCTTTGAAGCTTTCAGCAAGCAGGGAAGAGACAGGACACAACCTCCTCCTTGTGTTGCCTTTCCTGGCTATCCTCAATGGGCCTCCTGCCAGATTATCACGAAGTGACTTCCCTCAGGGTTTTACGTAAACCCTCATTTTCTCCAGACTGAGCCAAGGGCATTCTATTATGTAATCCCCAGCATACAGTCACATGTTGCTTAGTCAGCTGACCCCTTTCCTTGTGGGCTTTGTCTGGTGACTACAACTCTCAGCAACCCCTGTAACATGCCCCATCAACAGATGTGCTGGCTGCCCCCGCACTTACAGGACAGTGCTCTATTAAAGGCTCTATAGGCACTCATCAAAGAATGTAACCTGCTTTGTACAGCTGTACAAGTCTGTTTATTTCCACTGTGTTTATTTTTTCAGAGGTTGTAGTTCTTTTTGTGGCACAGCTATGACCAATGCTCCAGTAAGGTCACAAAGGAATCACTTTCTACAGAAAAGAGCTAGCATTTGCAGTATAAATTCCCACAAAATATATCACTCCCTAGCTCAAGGTTCACACCAAGCTGTGAAAGATCTGACCTGCTTCTGTTCACCTCCACGTAGGTGCAGTCACAGACTTCAGCAAATTTGTCTTCTGTAGGGAAAAATAAACCAAACATTTATTCTTTTCAATACTTTAAATCATATTTTTCCAGTCTTTCAAATATTTTTCAACATGCTGTTTACCCCTTTTCAAAGTATTCAAACAATGTCCATTGTTGTAATTCCATATTTTCAAGCATCCATCTCTTCCTCCTGTAATTAACCTAAAATGGGATTAAAATTCAATATATTTCCCACATGTGTCAACAATTATATATATCTTCAAATAAACATAAAAAGAAACATACCTTCTTCCACTGACATCAAAGGTCAAACAGGTTATTGCAGCACCTCCATGAGCACCACTAAACTCAAATAAATGCTTTCCTGTTTCAAAATCCCACACTTTAACCACCTTTTAAAAGACAAGCAAACAAATAGTGATTGAAGGAGTGTCTGAAAAGTAGCAGAATTTTTCCATTTTACCCCCCTCTGCCCAGCCTCTCTCAACTGCTTTTTTTTTTTTTTTAGCTGAATGGTGTAGCTGCAGGCATCAGGAGAGCCTGTTATTTGATCTCCTTTACTGAGATCTTCAATGTCTCAAAATGAGCCTTGTAAGGTGCCTAGATACCAATGTGATGGCTGCCAAGTATCTACCTATCTTGGATTGGCACAGATGCATGAAGAAACGTATATAGCACTGGTCAACGTGACTGCCTGGATTACCATCACTTTAATCAGTATCCAGATTTATTCAGGACAAAATTAAGACGACCTAAGTCACGTCGATGTACAGCAACAGCAGTAATTAAATTGCTTTTGCATGTCCACGCTATGCTCCTTGTGTTGGCAGTGCATATCCTCACCAGGAGCACTTGCACTGATTAACTGTCTGTGTGGGGCATTGTAGGATGGCTTCTGGAAGGCAGCAACAGTCGATGTAAGCTACACTGACACTGCGTTGACCTAACTATATCGACCTAAGCACTATGCTTCTCACAGAGGTGGCGTATTAAGTCGGTGTCGTGGGTGAGTTACATTGGCGGGAGTTACAATTTAATGTAGATGCTTACAGAGTTGGGTTGACAAAAGCTGCCATTGATGTAAGTGTAGACCAGGGCTCAGTGTTTGAGAGAGAAAAAAGAAACAGCGACTCTAGAAAGACACATATTGGGGTGGGGTGGAATCTAAGACCCCGGTCTATACTATAAACTTATATTGGCATAACTACATCACTCAGGGGTGTGAAAAATTCACATCCCTGAGCAACGCAGTTATACTGACCTAACCCTTGGTGTAGCTACTGCCTCTCAGGGAGGTGGATTAACTACACCGATGGGAGAAGCTCTCCTGTTGGCATAGTAACAGCTTCACTAAAGTGCTACAGTGGTGCAGCTGCAGCACTGTATGTGAAGACAAGCCCTAAGTAACATATGCCTCTTAAAAATATGTGAAGTTCTTCTGAAGATGTCACTGTAGATGACATAACTTGCCTTTAAAATATTTTACAGATTGGCGATTAGCTACACTGGTAATGGGTAGAGCTGCTCAAAACTTGGGCTTTTTGGTTCATGAGAAATTGCAACATTTTCAAACTTGATTTAATTCGAAATTTCCATGAATCCAGAATTTTTGACGTTTCCAATGAACCAGAAATCCTGGAGAGAAAAAAAACAACCTGTTTCTGACACATTACATTTCCAAAACAAAATATGCTCTCCAGGCTGGCAGTTGCTGACTGCAATCGACATTGTGGTCAGTGTCACTGCTGCTAAAAGTTTCACCACTAACAGCAACAGTGAGATTGACAAGAATACCAATTGCAGGCAGCAGCTGCCCAGGCTTTGAGGTCTGTGGCTCTAGGGTAACCCTGGCATGTGTCCCAGGACCCCAAGGCTTCCAGACCCCTGGTTCAGCTGGTTCCCCCACTTCTGTCCCAGGGCCTCTCAGGTCCCAGCTTTGTGCAGTGAGCCTAGAAACCCTGTGAGCCCCCAGGATTTCTAAGCTCCCTGTTGTGGAGCTCAGAACCTAGATTCGGAGTCCTGACTAGAGCGAGGTCTCCCAGGACTTCCAGATTCCTGGCTCTACGGCAGTGAGTCTGGAAGCCCTGGCATGGCAGGGTGGCTCTGAAGCTATGGATCCTGGAAGCCTGGAGTTTCTGGCCCTGGCCAGTCCATGTAGTATAGCTCCGCAGCAGCCCACAAGGCAAGCTGACAGGGAACCAGGCAGGTTGATTCACTGAAAGTTTGTCAAACCTGACTTGCTTTCATGAAACATTTGGGGTTTGAAGAACCAGCATTTTCTGACAAAGCTGTTTCCCCAGAAAATCTCTGACCAGCTCTAGTGATGGGTGTGTTAAAAATGCACAGATTACATACAATAGATTAGACAGACACATGGAGTCATGTCAGCAACTACATTGCCTTTATGTGGTATAGTTTTCACTTACAGATCCCTCTGAGCAGCTCACCACGTGCCTGAACTCTTTGTTGTATTTGCAGCACAGAACTGGCTCCTTATGAGACACGATCAAGTGGGGCTCTGGAGGAGGCCTATCTCATGGAAAAACAAACCAAAGCAATGCAGCATATATCAACCGGACTGTACAAGAGTTGGGGAAAGTACAACAGCATTAAGCATTTCTATGCTATTTCCTCAGTACATCTTCCAAAAGGGGGAAAGCGATGCTGTGACTTTAATTTAAAGATACTGATAGCGGTGGGAAGAAAGAGGGAGGCCTTTAGTCTCCACATCCATCCCATTGTTAGTCTGCCTGCATCTACTAGACCATACTCTAGGGAATCTTTGCAAAGAATTCCCACCTGTGCTGCTACCAGTTCCACTGCACCAGCAGCTGTTGTAGTGGGAGCCTGAGGAGGGCACAGGGATCTACACTATCCTGTTCCCACAGAGGGCAAACTTCTCCAATTATATTTCAAATGCTCTAGGTTTCCCACACACACAAACGTCCCATCTGTTGAACTTTTGAATAACAGCTGAAGAGGCTCACAAACCCTCAAACTCAAATGGGCTTGCCATGTACCTTAATCTTAGATGAAGAAGTGCAAGTGTATCCGCAGCAACACAAAGCGATCTGGTGCCTGGGGTGTAGTGGCAAGCAGTGAGCTCTCCCTTAATTCCACTGGTTTTTGAACAAGCTGTAAATAAACAGGTCTGGTCCACAATATCCCAAATCTGTAGGAAAAGATGTTACACAAACGGAACAACAATTAATAGGGTTGTACTCTAATGTCTGACACACGTCCTCATGCAGTTCTAAAAATACACTGCTATACTTCCCTTCCCACCCAGGTCAGGTAGTTATGCATGGCACCTACACTGGAAGGTTAGACCCTGACCAACAGTACCCCCAACACAACGCTGCTAGACCAGGGTCTCTGGGTATTTTAGAATCAGAGAAGGGAAGTAAGCAACAGATTACTTATCCTAAAGATGCTGTGTTACTTTTCCACAGAAGGGAACAGCTACAAGAGAGATTATCCTGGGGTAAATCTCTCCATCTCTCCTGTTGGAGATGTTCCTCTTTGTATAAATACATACTTATTCACTCACAGGGCCAGAGAGATTGACTCTATAGACCGGAGGCTAGAGTACTCACCTGAGATGTGGGAGACTCTGGTTCAAATCTCTGCTACAGTGAATAATTAAGTAGAACTGCTTCAACAGGGGAGATTGAGAGAGACCAACACCAGGATACCCAATAGCCTGGTGGTTATGTTACTCCCTTGGAATATGAAAGACCCAGGTACAAGTCCATAATCTGAATCAGGCAGAGTAGGGACATGAACCCAGGTCACCTACCTCCTAGGTGAGTGCCCAAACCACAGGGCTATTGGGTATTATATACAACACACACATGCTAGTCTGAGAATCCTATTGGGCTTAGGCACAAACAAGGGCTCTAAGCAGCTAGTTAGCTGTGGTGCAGCATCAGGACTCAGGCACCTTTTTGTGCTTACCCACTGGTAGAAATTTAGGCACCTACAGGGTTAGGCAGCAGCTGAGTGGTGGTTGTGAGAATATCAGTGGCACCTAAGTAGTTTTATAGATCTAGTCCTGAGAGTCTTTCCACGGACTCTAGCCCAGGGATCGGCAAACCTTTTGGCTCGAGGGCCACATCTGGGTGGGGAAATTGCATGCAGGGCTGGGGCAGGGGGTTGGGGTGCGGGAGGGAATGCGGGGTGCGGGAGGGGATGCAGTGTGCAGGAAGGGACTCAGGGCAGGGGGTTCGGGTGCAGGAGGGGTGCAGGGTGCCGCAGGGGGCTCAGGGCAGGGAGTTGGGGTGTGGGGTGCAGAAGGGGTTTGGGCTCCAGCCCGGCGCCGCTTACCTGGAGCACCTTCGAGATGGCAGCGGCGCGCCTCTGTGGCCCCTGGGCTCCGCGCGCTGCCCTTGCCTGTGGGTACCTCCCCCGAATCTCCCATTGGCCGTGGTTCCCCATTCCCGGACAATGGGAGCTGCAGGGGGAGGTACCCACAGGCGAGGGCAGTACACGGAGCCCTCTGCCCCCCCACACACCAGGGGCTGCTGGACGTGGTGCCAGCCGCTTCTGGGAGCAGCGCGGGGCCCACAGTGCCATGGGGTGGCAATCCCGCAGGCTGGATCCAAAGCCCTGAGGGGCTGGATCCAGCCCGCAGCCCATAGTTTGCCCACCCCTACTCTAGCCCTTACTTGGTGAAAGTGCTCTGAGATGAAAAGTGCTATATAAATGTAGACTACTGTTTGTGATTTTCCTTCATACCATGTATGCCTAATTCATCCTTAGTCTATACCCAGTGAAGTCAGTGGAAATATACCAGAGATGAATTTAGCCCTATATCTAAATTAATCTTCGGTGTATGTCCACTGACTTCAATGGATATACACTAAGGATGAATTTGGCAGATATGGTATAATGGAAAATGATGAACAATAATTTACATTTATAAAACAAGTCAACCCCTGATTCATGTTAAATTAGGGGCAATTAATAAGTTAATCAAACAGAAAAGGTGTTCACAATGGATGTATACATACTTGGTTCAAACTTGGAGAAAAACAGCGGAATCCTCTGGAAACACAGAAGACCCACACAAACCCCACAAGATGTCTGATTATAAAGTGTGGAGTACAGTTCTAAAGACATGCTTCTGGAAATTAAATAGGTAATTAAAAATAATAATATAATAGTGCTCGCTAATATAGTGGTCAGAAACCTAAACTTAATACTGAAGTCGTACATTGGAAGAAGTGCAAAGGCTAATATTATTACTATAGGCAGGGTTGGTAGCACTGCCTATTATTAAGGTTGCTCAACACTTTCCATTATAAGACCCTGTTTTCTTTTTAATTTGCCTATTTTAGCAAATTTTAACTGCTTGAGCTGAAGTTTTCCATTCTGAGTGTCTGCATTAAGCTAAATAATTTTGGAAAATTTCAGCCAAAATGGTTCAGCAGTTTCTGAGAACAAGGGTAAGAAAAAATGTGCTTTACTCATGTTAAAAAAAAATCTATCAAACTTGTCTTTGGAAAGCTCTAGCTCCTCCTTACTTTGGAGAAAGTATGCTTTAGTTTTAGCAAGGGGCTGGGCTTTTGTGTCAGGGATGTGCTTTTTGGCATCCCTGTGAAAGTCTGCCAAATTTGGCCAAGTTATAAGCCTTCTTTTTAAAAAAATCACAGTTCGCACATGCTAAGTAGAGATTAATTTTAGCAGCTAATCTCCCTGAAGATTCCATCCCCCCTGGGCATGCTCCAGCCCAGGGATAAGAAAGACTTTCCCTGCAATTGCAGCTCTTGGCTGCTGTGGGCCATGCTAGGTCTGAACACCTACACTGAGAACAGGGAGACTGTGACACCCTGCTGGGCCCAGGCAGTGTGGAGGAGGAAGCTGCCTGATTCAAATATAGAGGGGACAAAAGATTAACCTACTGGGGTTTGGGAGGAGTAGAATGTGACAAGGAGCTGGGGAGTATAGAAACTGGAACTGGAGAGATCCAGGAGTGGAGGACTGGCTTGTCAAGGAGACTGGGGATGAAATGTTGCTGGGGTGGGGGGGAAGATGGTGACAGGGAGTGCAGAGGAGTGAGACTAGGACTTGCTAGGCAAGGAGACTTGTGGGGCGGGATGAGAAATCTGAGGAGTGGAGACTGGGACTGGCTATGCTGAGAGAATGGGACTTGGAAAGGGATGAGAAGGGATGGGGTGTGGAAAAGAAAGGACTGGGACAGGGATAAGTTGAAGGGGATGGGGAAGAAGGGGTCACACTTCAGGGAAATGCACAGAATATCACTAGAGCACACTCCCCGTCAAAGCCTCAATGGAGCCCAAGATCCCTGAGTGGGACACACACTGGTAAACTTTAATAATATTATTTTAATGTAGGGTGGTTGTTGTTGTTGTTTTTTTGTGTAATACACACGTGTAATACATGCATTGTGTATGTAATACATGCCTAGTTAGGGAGATTTCAGCAAATGAAGAAACAGAAATACCTATCCTAGAGAAATTACAATAGAAGCAAGATCCCTAAATTAAAAAACAAAACACAAAGTCACTTTCTAAAGTAGAACAACACTTTAAAAAGTTCAGAGTACTGGATCCCTGAAGTTTTATCATAATTTGTGAAACATTTAGCAACGAATGCATTTAGTACAACTGAAAACCTAAGAGACTATTGACTCATAGGAGTACTTGCTGGAATTGCTCTCTACATTGATCTGTTTAAGGGCCAGATCCAACTCCAATTTCGGTTGGAGTCTTTTCTATTGACTTCATTGAGAATTAGATCAGGCCCTACATTTCTATACTGTACTATTATGTATGTGTTCATGTTTATTAGACTGAATATATTTATATTTATTTCCGCGAATACAAAAAAAAGAACTGGGGTAGGATATCAGACACTTGCTGTATATAGTGAGACCTTAATGGTGTTGTCTGTGGATATGGAAAATATTTTCACATCTTCTGCAGATATGGAGAGGTAACAGACTGGCGCTGTGTGGCTTCTGAGCATGCCTGTTGGTCGGCTGAAATTTAATAAGAACAGGTCAATAGTAAGCAGTTTCAAATTCATTGTTTCTTATAAAACAAAATAAAAATAAATGGGCTGGAATCTGCGACTACTCGTATGTTTGGTGGGAATTGTATTTTGTGTTTTCTCACAAAAAACCCCGCACGTAAGCAGAGTGGTCTTCCAGTATCAGGCACTTGGAGTGATGTACATGAAACAATAGCATCTGCTTGCAGAGTTCAGCTTTTCATGAGATGTTAATGCCACCAAATGGATTCCTAGGCCTCAATTACACAATGAGCTCCGTGTGGACAGATATCATCGTAGGACTGGGGTCTTAGGCACAAGCAAAACCTCAAACCGATCTTAGATAAAAAACAGAGGATAGTCCTGGAATTTTTATATTTATATAAAATATTTAAACTTATGGGAATGATTTTGCTGCACGCGTGTGTGTGTGTTGATATTATCAACAGTGCAGCAGAGCCATTCTGTAAACTCAGGCATATTTCCAGGACATTTGTGATTGTCTCCACAATGCACTTAGCTTATCCCGATTAACAAGGCAATACACTAGATAGTAAGAATTACTTATCATTAATATGTGGTTACAAAGTCCTTCATAACAGATTCTTTCAATGAGTACTGTAACCGTCTCTTACCCAGACATGTAAGGGTTCCACATCCGGATGATTCGATCCATTCCGCCTGTCACTATGAGGTTGTTTTTTTTACAGAATGCAAATGTTTTTACTCCTTTGTAGACTTGAAACACAGTCTGATCTCCCTCAGCTCTCTTTGGAGGGATTCTAGGTATCACCGGCCCTTTTCTTGCTTTTGAATCTTTCCCACAGTCCTTTATTTTTTTCATCTGGTGCTCAACATTAGTAGCACCAACAGTACACCCTGAAAAAGAACATACTCACCTAAACAGCTGATAAATTTGAAAATGTCCTAGACATCTTGGTTCCCACCACCTCCCGCAGATTAGGTACTAATAACTTTCAGCATCAGGAAATTTCTCCCAATAGTCACTTTATAATTCTTTTTCTTCATTTCATGCCATTAGTCCTACTTATACCCCTTTTATTATGCTAAAAAATTCCTCCTCCCAATCCCACTGGGGTTTACTATTTTCAGAACCCTTTATTTTACCATGTTTCCCATTAGTCAGCATTTAGCTATTTTGATCTTTCCTGATAAGAAAATCTCTCCAGCTTCACTTTCTGGAACTTACAGTTTGTTAACATCGTTCTGGCAAGGAGAGGTTCAAAACTGAATGGCATTTTAAACAGGCTGCTCATCATTTATCGAGGCACAGACTCTGCGCCAATGTCTAGAACAGACATTTGTTGCTGCTGCTTCTAATTTCAGGCAAAATAAAACAAAGAAAAGGGCCAAGAAGGAGAGGCAGGAGATAAGATACAAAGAAGAAGCAAACTAGTCTCTGAAGCCTCATTCCTATATCACTATTGCTTTCCCAAGACTACTTCTGATGTTTAATCCCAGTATGAGGGGGAGTAAAAAAGCCCACATTAAGGGGCAAAGGATGCTACAAACAATGGAGTTCAACTCCCCTCTCCATCTCCAAGATCTAAAATGAGGGGATCTGGAAAATGCACACACGCAAAGCCAGATGCTTTTAAATAAAAAGCTGGAAATACAGAGTATGGACCACAAAATGTTGCTGTTGAGAAGATTCTAACCAAGGGGGTCTCAGTGCTTCCAGAACAGATTAGAGATCTATTATTAATTGAAAATAAGATCTTGATGGGATTTAAAATAATTTTATGTTTATGAATTATGGGAGCTGTTGTTGTCATTATGTCAGTTTGATTTACTCTAGATTGTGTGTGTCCACCATCTGGTGAAATCAGACTGCAAACGCTGGGGTATTTTTTGTCTGAAATTAATATTTATGATGATTGCAGTGTAGATGGGCCCTTAACCATTCTGTACTTCAGTTACCTCTGTAAACTGTGGGTAAGAATACTTGTCTGACTCACAGCAGTGTTGTTCATTAATACTTTACTATGCACTGAGGTCACTGGATGGAAGTGTTATTACATTACTATAAATTAGGTGGTCAAAAAAAGTATAATTGCAACTGAAATAAAGCTTCACCAAAAACAGCAAGAAATTGCTCTGAAATAACATAAGAACAGCCATACTGGGTCAGACCAAAGGTCCATCTAGCCCCATATCCTGTCTTCCAATAGTGGCCAATGCCAGGTGCCCCAGAGGGAATGAACAGAACAGATAATCATCAAGTGATCCATCCCCTGTCGCTCATTCCCAGCTTCTGGCAAAGAGAGGCTAGGGACACCATCCCTGTCCATCCTGGCTAATAGCCATTGATGGACCTATCCTCCATGAATTTATCTAGTTCTTTTTTGAACTCTGTTATAGTCTTGGCCTGCACAACATCCTCTGGCAAAGAGTTCCACAGGTTGACTGTGCATTGAATGCACTAACCAATTCTAATATTTCTCAACCTGTCCTCCGAGTCTCTTAGGAGTAAGTGTGGAAGGAATCTCAACAGGCAAAGAATGGAATAATTGAAATCTAGATGGGCTAAGTAGACTAGGTAGGTGTTTTATAAGCTTGCTTAAGGGAGTAGTTTTAGTATGTTTTACTCATGTGACTAGAGCAAATGAGACACTTATTTAAGAAACTGAAATAGACGTAAGGACTTTCATTTGATTTCATCATAAGGCCCAGCCCGCGCTGCTTCCCACAGCTCTCATTGGCCAGGAACGGCAAACAGCAGCCACTGGGAGCTGCGATCGGCCGTACCTGCGGACGCTCAGATAAACAAAGCATTTCACAGGCCACCAGGGGCTTACCCTGAACAAGCTGTGAACCAAGTTTGGGAACCCCTGGACTAGATAATCTAACGGTTCCTTCTGGCCTCAAAAAGAAAAAAGAAAAAAAAAAAAAAACTATGAATCTCTGTGGACTTTGCATCATAACAAGACTCTCCTGTATAACTTGCGTAAAATAAGATTATTCTTCACAACCAGCATGACAATGGTAAACCAAGTGCCAGCTTTGGCCAAGGCCGGAAGTGTTAACTAAGAACTGACAAACTCATAGCTGGAAACCAAACCAGCTCACCTGTATATTAGTTTTGTTCAAAATAGGTATTAGTCTTATAAGAATGTATTTAGTGTTTAGACTCTATGAAATGCTTGTAAATTGCTGCATGCATTAATCTCACTTGTAATGCCTGTAATTCCATACGATAAGGAATTATGTACGTTTTGCTTTATAACTTTAAAAATGTTTGCTCTGAACTTGTGAGCCCAGGCACAGGAATCAAGATTAAATGAGCCATTAAGAAACATGAAAATACAAGGGATTGGTGAATGGCCCTATCACACCTCGGAAATGCTATGTGCAAGGGAGCTTTTCTCATGGACTGGAAAGCCAAATGCAAAAGATAAAACAGGGCACAAGAAAATTTGTCCTCTCTTTGCTATTTGAACTCTCACAGGGTCAGAGACTCTAAAGTGAGGCAGAGATCCCCAGGAGTTACCCGTGGATCTGCCCTGAAAGACACTTTTGTAGCTAATTAGTTAATTTTAATCATCCATTTATCCTTGTATTGTGTGATGTTATGGTCAATTTATATTCTATTTCATATACAATTAAGGTATGCTAAATAGATTTAAATTGTAGGATTATAGAATTATAGGATTGATAAGTATTTAGGAGTGAAAAGTGTGTAGTAGGTGTATAAGTAAAGCATGGATGGAACACAATGCCTACAAGCTGAGGCCTGTAAGACTTTAGTTGAGCCACACTAGGCCATAGGTTTAAGAATGCTTGACATGAGTGAGTGACCTAGGAATAACCCTATGCCTGTAAAGTCACAGGATTACTGCCAAAGATGTGCCCATTGGTGATGTCACAGAAAAATTGATTGCAATAGACTGCAATGCATTGTCCAAGGCCAGTAGACACCTGATTGTAACATCTTTAAATGTCTGTCTGGACCACAGGATACATGTCATGCATAGATGCTAATGAGAATAAGAGGAACTACAAATAACCTGTGAAAAATCGAGCACCCCAATATTCACGGGGTGTGGAAGTACAGATAAGGAAAAGAGGGTTGACACCTTCATGCATCACCTTCATGCATAAAGTGTTAGGTGTGGTCAGAACTACAATATAGAAGAGGGTTCCCAGGGTTGGGTAAAAGTGGGAAGACCTAAGGGACGAGCCCACGGGAAACTCCAGCAGGAACTATCCCTCTAGCAATGATCGTCTATTGAGAGGTCCTTTGGACCCTAGAGTATCTCTGAGGATGTGAGTATGACTACAGCCATAATTATTGCATAGGTTTTTGTAGGATTTCTATATGCATAGGTAATTGTAACTTTACTTATTGCTTTAATAAAACTTGTAGTACAGATAAGACTTTGTACTTGTGACTGTGTCTGTGGTCATTATTCTTGGACTCCATGTGTTTCTAGAGCTTCAAAATTTGAGAAAAGCATCAGAGGCAATTTCATGCTGTTGAGTTTGAAACTGTAGCAACCTGAGCCAAACGCATGGTGGTATAATACAGCATCACTCAATTCACTTTAAATAAAATAAAAGGCTACATTTTGAATTGACATATTACCACATCTCTGTCATGTTTAAGAATCATAGATGGTAACTCATTTGTGTGCATATGTTTGCTTATTTTAACCTGTAATTAACTCTAATTTCTTTTTCCTAGTTAACCTTTTATTTAGTTTATTATAGGATTGGCTACTGGCATTGTCCTTGGTGTAAGATCTAGGGTACCAATTGATCTGGGGTAAGTGACTGGTTTCTTGGGACTGGAAGCAACCAGAATATTTTGTGATTTCTGGTATAATTTATCACTAAGTCCAGCTTGTCTGGGTGATACAATAGACTGGAGAGTCTAAGGGGACTGTCTGTGACTCCATGGTAAGACAGTTTCAGTGATCCGGGAGTTCATATTTGTTACTGCGTTGGTGAAATCTAATTACCAGTTTGGGGTGTCTGCCCTGCTTTTGACAATCTGCCCTGAGGTAGGCACTCAT